ATGTAAGAAATTTATTTGAATTAATCATAAAATGGCCCTGATATGTCACTAGACATTGAGAAATCATGTTCATTTCAAATACTTATATCACTGACAACAGTAGTCCGGCCAGGATATTGTCATTTAAAAAGTGAAGTTGCAGCCCTCAACTGATGTTGATGTTGTCATGTTGTGTTTTGGTCTGATGCTCCTCCCTCCACCTATCGACCATTCACGAAGTCAGTAGTGTTGCGGCATCCGGGTTGCCAGCTCTGCTCTAGTTACCACAGCTGCAGCTACACACGTGTCGGATAAAAAAATGCAGCCGATCTGGCAACCTCGAGTCAGGGGGGGGGGGGAGGGGATACACCGCTCTACAGTAATTTGAAAGTGATTGCAGTACCGGTTTTGGCCACAATCTTACATACAGCTCCTTTAAAATAAAGTGTAACCTCCGTTTTATCTAATTCTACACAACTCTTAATTGAATTTTCGTATTAATCTAAATGCTAACTATAAATCTGACAAACTACTACTGCTGTTTACAAAGTGTATTGCTGATAACATTTTATTGTTTATAGCTTTTTTTTTTTTTAGTAAAAGTATTTTAAGGCATGTTTTTATATGATGTCCATGCAGAATCCCTATTGGATGGCTGTCCTTGACCTTTGACCTAAAAGGAAGTAACATTCTATGTTCCTTGCACATTCCAGCATGATCTTTGTATGCGAGTAATGCGAGTCACTCAGGAGGATCTTGTGTGTTCACGCGATTCGCTCAGGATCTGGTGTGTTTAGCGTTGCAGAGCAGTTTGGTTTGTAATAAATCCCAACAAAGGAGAAGCTTTAAGGACTCCCCGCAGCTTTCAAACAAAATTAGAGCTCGATTGGTTTAAAAATGAAGAAATTCAGATGTAAATATTTTCTAGAATTATTATTTCTCTCCAAATAGAGCTATTCAAATATTCTGGAAATTCCTGTATTCTCATTTTTCACATCAAAATATGTGTCACTGTCACGAAACACAAAATATTGCAATTTTGTCAGTTATTTTCCAATATATATATTATAACTCCGATTTGATCCAACAATCCCACACGTCAATCCAATTATTTAGTGTTCATGTAAACCTTATGTTCTGAATCATCAACGAGAATGATTACATTCAGAATAAAGCAGCAGCTGTCCACGCAAACACAGATACAGTGTTCAAGCCACTGATGTAAACTTCTGCATGAACAATATAATTCAATATTTACTCCTGGAAATAAATGCAGGGAAAATGCCAATGAATTCCTTAAATGTTTAGGTATTGTCTGTTTATGCAGTAATGAAAGTTATAGTCCACCGCTATAGTGGACTATACAGTTTTCTCTCTCTCATTCTTTTCAGCCTATTGATGATGCAAGACATTGTTCGCAGGGTTAATGTGGACATCTTGACCGTGAGTGAGGACACTAGACACGATAGTGTCTTCCCAGATGATGTTGTGGATGTGGCTGTGATAACGGAGGAGGAGACTGTGGTTTTGGATCTCCAAGATGTTCAAAATGCTTTTGCCACACTGTTTGGACTCCTTTATGCTTTGTACATTGACTATCCCAAAGAGCTACGATACACATTTGAGGTGATCCATCAAAATTTGTATGAAGGTTGGTAGGGAGAGTTATGCACAGCAAAGATTCATGGCCTGAAAAAAATGCAGTGAGGAAACACTGGCGCATACAACTTCTGCTTTTTTTTTTTTTTTGTGGTATTTATTTTCATTGATAAATTTGTTGAAGCTTGAGAGAGTTCGCATTGATGAGTTTAAAATGTCATGAAGTCAATTCAGAGGTGTTTAACAATCTTCACTGTTTCTTTTTGAAAGGAAAGTTCTGAACAAAGGACGTTTCTATATAATGTATGTTGTGGGGTGAGCTTGTCAAATACAAATTTTCACAGCAAATTATCCAGCTTGGTGATATATGTTCTTATTGCTTTATTTGGAAACTGAGTCAAGCATAAGCCATACATTGAGTCAGGCGTAAGATAGCTTTGTGGTTGTTTTTAGGTGTTTGTTATTGGAATAAATACAAATGTGTATTAAAATATGAGTTGCTGTGATTTTAATTTGACATTTTAGTCTAAATCAAGTGTAATTTACAAATTAATATTTTAGTGCTAATACATTCAATATTGATTTGCTGCTACAGCAAGTGAAGATTTCGTAACTATCCAATTTAAGTTAATCTAAAGTGAAGTTTTCATAACTAAATTTAGTCAGATTACTTTATAATTTGTCAGATAGACTTTTAAAACTCAAAAAGCCCATGCAAAAAAGAAACAAAATATGAGTTGTCAACAAAAGATTTTTTACAGAGTACTTATTTGTGCAATTACACATGAACAAGGATACCTTAAAATAAAGTGTAACCCCAGTTTTATCTAATTTTACACAACTCTTAAAGCTGCAGTCCGTAACTTTTTGGGGTTAAAAATTATCCAAATTGAGCAGGTACATAACCAGCCAGTGTTCAAAACTATCTGCTTGCCTTAGCTCGATTCAAAATGGTAAGCTTGTAATAATGTTTTAAACTTCAGTGGTACCAGTGGATTTCCCCCGGGGAAATTCGAGCATGTCTTTGAGTCATTACGTCACATCTGTACACATAAAGAAGGAGTCTCGGCTAGAAGGCTTTATTGCGAGTGAGGATGTTGGAGGTGGAGATTTATAGCCTTTTCTCACAGCACTTGATATAAACTTATCAATTTGATGGCGGATCCAGAAAGGTTCAAATGACAATCAACAGTGACAACTGGAGATTCACCCGTTGTAAAATGCAGAAGACTTCGCACTTCGGAGTGGCTACAGAAAAAAAGAGACTGCAACCGGGCCCATGCGAAAAAAAGGATTAAATGTAGGACGCAATACTGATGTGTTGTTTACATTAACAATTTGAGAACAAAGTATAGTTTGCACGGTTTTACGTGATATGATAAGCGATCGTTAGATTTAATCAGTGCGATTTACTGCAATGATTTTTTCCCCTTAGTTGGTCAGAACAAATCACAGATTCTACTTTTGATGTTACTTACTTGTTTAGATGACATTTTCCGGTGAAAATACTTCTGTTGGTCATACTTGCAAAAAAGTAGAATCTATGATTCCGAATGACAGTATCCACACCGGCGCGATGACTGACAGCCGCACATTCTCCTCAAAACACTGGATTCATCCGCTAGTAATACGCACGGCCGTGCCGTGCCGAGGCACAACCCATGTAAAGTTGATAATTCCGCGAATAACTGCAATTGCAGATTTCGAACAGAGATGGCGACAAAGAGGAAAAACTACGGACTGCAGCTTTAATTGAATTTACATATTAATCTAAATGCTATGAATCCAACAAACAACTCCTTATGTTGCACAACAGTAAAGCATATACAAAAGCATACTATAATAATAGTATTGCTGTTTACAAAGTGTTTTGCTGATATTTCTTTTAATAATATATAGCTTTTAAAAAAAAAAGTATTTTAAGGCATGTTTTTATATGATTTCCATGCAAAATCCCGATTGGCTGGCTGCCCTTGACCTTTGACCTAAAATTAAGAAACATTCCCGTTCCTCCCACATTCCAACGCGATCTTTGGAGAGGTTATGACCTGTTACATCACTGTAACCGTCAGAACATTTTGTGCATTAGAAATGGAGAGAGGAGAACAAAGGTTTTGCAAAAAAAAAAAGCGAGTATTATCTTAGTCTTTAGCAAACGCAGGGGTGAGAGGGATCTAGGTGAACACCACAACAGAGTCATCTGAAGGTCACAAGACCAGATTAAACATCACAAGCACATAGATTCACATATTATTTTGTTAATAGTGTAATGAGATTATACATATTCTGAATCCGTAAGCCTCTGAATCTTTTATTTCTCTTTGCATTTCTGTTTTAAGTGGATGTACAAAGAATGCTCAGTACCCTAAACGTGCCCCTCTATATTTCTAGACAATAGCCCATATGTTCCCGTGAGAGGACAACGGAAACAGCTAGGGGATAACCATAAGGGGCCTGGCCCCTCTCTCTCTGTATCTTTTACTTCCGTTCATGCCTCTACGACTACGATCTTACTTTCGCTACGTCACCCCATCACTCCCTTTATCTCAACATTCACAATCAATCCTTACTGCTCAGATATTACACACAAATGAATGCACACAAACACGACACAAAACCATTCTTCTCCCACTGGGTGCCACAGCGATGAATTTCCTCATGTGATCGTATGCATCCACACACACCACATTGTGTTCTGCATTCGAGGCCTAAAACAGAAGCCTCTGCTATACTATTCAGGCAGACACACCCAAAAAAAAAACATGAACTCATCTCCTTAAAAGCCAAAATATTATATTTAAAAAGACTGGCCGTCATACATGGCTGAACATTTCCATGAATTACTGCGGTTACTGTAGTGACTGAAATCGCATACTGCTATTAGGTTAAGTATGTTATTGGCTCGGCCATAAATTGTTTGCGTTGTATTTATGTTTTTCTTAAAGGAACAGTAAAATACAAAAATAATAATAATTTCTCTAACCATTTACTCACCCTTATGATTTTCACCACAAAAAGAGAAAATAAGGCGGAATGTTAGGGAATGATAGCCTTGCAGCCTTTTATTTACATACAATGAAAGTGCAAAGTAGGCCTACAGTCCTTCTGCATAACATATTTTGTGTTACAAAGAAGAAAATTGTGTTTGCAACAGGATGAGTAAATTATTTTTAATTCATTTAATGCAGTCCAATACCGATCAAGTGGCTGACACACATTTCTCCACATTTATACACGAACTAATGTTCGACCTCATGCGGACAAACTGTTTACCTCGTTGATGCCTCTGACGTCATGACACACCCCTCGCGCGCGTGAGTGTATGTGTGTGTATGTGTGTGTGTGTGTGCGCGCGCAGTCTCTGCCTGTGAATGCAGTGGGGTTTGTGCGTGTGAGTGAGTGTGTTTTGCTTGTGGAATGTGGGAGTTGTCCCCACGCGCTTTACGAACAACCGACCTGTCCAAACAGTGCGCGCGTGGCAGAGGATGTCACACCAACCAAAACAGCGGACAAACGCTCACAGCACAGTCTTTGGAGGAAAATTCGCCGTACAGGGTAGAGTCGGGGCGGGGCGTAATTACACGGAGTCCCGTCTATTTAGGGTCAAGTACAACATTTTTACAGTCCTAACCAGCGTGGGTTCAAAGTTTGTTTTGTGTCCGGAAACTGCGAATCACCCACCGGGGGCGGAGGTAGTGCTTTCAGATTCGACCGATATTTTTGATTTATTTGTCTTTAGTTAATCCATAGACTCGCGAGATGGGATGGATTGCAAATCTGCAATAGCCAGCGTAATTCGTTAGCATCTCATTGACTAGCTCCTCCAGAGGCTCGATCGCGAATACGGGGCTGCGGTGCGACTGGACGCGGAGCAAGGCGACCCTCTGCGGGCTGCGCTGCCGAGGCGGTGGGCGTGTTTTCTCGGCGTGCTAGCATGTGAGCTGGCGCCAAGTTCTCGGTGTGAAAAAAAAACAAGATTTACAAGTTACGGGCTAGAGTGAAGCAGCAAAAGTCACATCACGCTTGATCGGAAAAGTTGCACGCAGGTACGAAGCGAGCTAACACACACTATTATCAAAGTGAACCTTGTGCTCACACTAATGCAATTCACAACAAAAGCTGCTAGTCTGCTAATGTTAGGTAACCTACTCAAGTGACTGTTTTTTAACATGGCACATGAGCTCCAGATAGAGCGAGAGAGAGTTTATGTGGGTAGTTGCTGGGCTAAAACACGTTTGTCACTATAATACCTGTTTGTTTGTTTATTTATTTATTCGTTATGTCTTCGATGCATCTTTCTCGTTGCACTGATTGAATGCAATTTAAACACCGATCTTGGCAAGTTATACAACGTGGAAAACTTTGCACATGCCTCCAAGAACAGATAGTTCTGAAGAATGACTTAAAGCAGAAAATTCCTGCTAATGAACATTCATTCTATTCTAAGCAATAAAACAAGCGTGTATTGAGTTTAATTGTATAGCTGCGTATCAGCTCATCTGTTGCAGTAATTTGTAACTGCGACATCATACAGCCACAGCGACAATATCGCTTCTATAGCTTTACTAGCACTTTTAAAGTTACTGCTTTGGAGATTTAGCTCACTTTTCTAACCACATATTGTAACGTCAGAGATATACTGAACTACGAATTCATAACACAAATGCAGGTTTTGGTGTACTGATTCACATCGGATAAATGTTTTTTGATAGAGCGTGTTTGCGGTATCATTTTATAATAACTTGCTTTGATAATATTACCATACATTAATGCATTTTTTAATGCTTTGTAGGTCATTAGTTAATATCCGTTCGAATAGTTACAATATAATTAAACTTTCATTCATATGCTTTCACATATGGGCATATTTAAATGTACATCAAGACATGATATATTATGCACTTGCCTATATGTATAATGTTTAATTTTAAGTGAAAATAATTTTTCCAATTTAATATTTTTTCAATTCTGCTTTCTTGTACTTTTGTCAATTTTCTGCTGTCATAATAATATACATTATTATCCTTTTTCACATTATTATCAGAAAAAAGTGCATAGTAATTTCCTGATGGAGGCCTATATGTTTTATAAAACCTTATGATGAAAGTGAAACATAAAATTGTTTTATTAAAACCCTGCAATATAAATCATTATAACCTCAGCAGTATTGTAAAACATAATGCCCTTGTGGAGAGAGAGCGTGTGACTCACATGAAAGCACATTGTGCTGTTGGTATGTTGAGAATCTGTTGTAGTCCGCATAGTTTGTTTAACATGTCTGTTGAACTGGGCTAGGACTTTTTCAGCGTTCCTACACTGTAAAGAAATAAAATCGGAAAATGTACTGCTAATTTTTCTGCCAAGACATTATGCATTAATTTTATGGAAATTTCCGCTATCCCTAAAACACAATGCAATGCATAATTTAAAATGCAGGTAAAACACCTGTAAAAAAAACAATACGGAAAATTCCTACATATATATAGAGTACATTGTGCCCTATTTTTACAGACATTTTGATAGAGTAATGGACAACTAGGGCATGTCAGATAAGCATGGTAAAAAGAAAAATACCAGGCCATATGAATTCCTATATTTTCAATTTCTTTTGGTTTATGTCAGGTAGTAGACTTTCAAAATCAACGTAATGCTTACCCTTGTCCCATGTTTGATTGGCTGTGCCTTGGACTAGTTGTATCAGATAATGTGTTTGTGTTTTGTGTGGCTAGAATGCATTTGGTAAAAGTGGTTGCTTTGTAAACGATGCTCCATTGTGCAAATTCAGGGCTGCTATTTTCTAATTTGGTTGGATATTTCATACTATTTCCACTCATGTAACAAGATTAGACGTGATACCCTGGATTGATTTCAAAACCCTCTTTCCCGTTTATTCAGTACCACTGTCTTTCGTACACCACCATTTTATAAGTTAGGGGTCAGTCATTTAAAAAAAGAAATTAATACTTTTATTCAACAGGATGCATTAATCTTAAGCAGCACAACTGTTTTTATCATCAATGATAAAAAATAAATATCTCTTGAGCACCAAATATGCCATTAGAATGATTTCTGAAGGATCATGTGACACTGAAGACTAAAGTAATGATCCTGCTGAAAATTCAGCTTTGCATCACAGGAATAAATTACACTTTAAAATATAGTAAAATAGGAAACAGTTATTTTGAATTGTAATCATATTTCACATAATAACTGTTTTTACTGCTTTTTTGGTCCAATAAATGCAGCCTTGGTGAACTTTCTTGGTTAGAGAAACTTTTGATCTGTAATGTATACATACACAAACTACACGCATATCTAATTTGTCCTCTCTCTCTTCATTTTTGTTAATTTTATTAGATTATCAGTGCAGGAGAAGTTTTGTTTTGTGATGAGCTCCAGAATGTACCGCAGCAGCAAAATCTATATGACTCTTTCTTTACAGGACGTTTACATGTTCAGCAGGCTCCAGAGTTCCCATGCACCTGTATATTATGCTCACAATCACGATAGTGTCTGAGCCTGTGCCATTCTGGACTTTCATTTGTACATGTCTTGCTCTGTGTAGGTTGCACTGATGATATGTTTCCTTTGTTTAAAGGAACTGGATTGTGATGTTTAGGTTGTTATTGTGGTGGTGCTCATTTCAGAGGCTGGAATGTGTGGGCCTGTGTGTAGTTTCTGTAACTCTAGGCAGAAGCTGTGAGGCCTTGACTGTAGCCCTGTAGAGAGGCCCATTGAAGGGGAAGTTGGCTCTGTATGTGTGTGTATGCGTGTGTGTGCATGCAGACCACTGGGATTGGACACAGGGTAGAAAGACCCCCTGTACGGAAGGAGGGAAAAGGGAGGAAAGAGGAAGGAGGAGTCAGTTACACTTTTCTGGTCATGTGTGTGTTCTTGCCCCGTGTTTTGCATGAGCAGAGTGAGTGGTCGCGTTATGGCAAGGGTAACCAAAGACGAATACTTAAAGAGACTATTCACAGCTGAGAAAGATTTCTCATTAGTAAACAGCCTAATTTTGACTTCAGGCCATTTAGTAATGTAACCTGAACAGTGTTGGCCTGATGCTTGTTTGTTTACTGTGGCTAATGTTTTACAGTGCTATCTTTGTCTTTGCATTTTTGTATAAATAATATTTGTTTGCTTATGGTGAATTTAACAGTTCAGAAATAATTGATGTTCAGTGTGTGGAGGTTTTTCAGCATGATGGAACGATAAATGATTAATGTATGTCTTTGCGCAGCATATCTTCAGCTACTGTGGATTGGTACTATTTGCTCAGATGCTTGACATTGCTATATACGGCTTCACTAAACCTACATGGGTTGAGAATCAAATGGACTGAAATAACACAGATGTATGATAATCTTTTTAAATTTCTTTTCCTTGCATTGTTTTTTTGTGAGATCCTATTATTTTGCAGTCTCTAGTACGTAAGGCATAATATACAGTCAGTCACTCATTATCATGAAGCGGAGGGGTTTTGTATCACCCTAATTACATATTTATCAAATAAATACATAAATTGTAAAGTTTAATGGTCATTACACAAAATTAAGGCCACAATCAGAAGTTGATGTTGTTGAGGTTCTTCTTCACAATGTCTTTGTTAAAGCTGTTTTCTCACTTGGTTTGAACTGGGATACGTCTACGTCATCATCATTTCGAGGTGCACATTTGTCCCTTATTTTAAGTTTTCTGATAAAGTAATGCAAACAATAAAAATAAAGGTTAATGTAAAATAAAAGTGGAAATGAAAAGTGCAGCATTCTCCACTATTAAAGATATAGTACCCCCAAAAATTAAAATTTTATCATCATTTACTCACCATGTCGTTCCAAACCTGTGTGACTTTCGCTTATTCAGTGGAACATAAAATAAGACATTTTGAAGAACAGAACGGATTGTTTTGAGAAAAGAAAAAACTCGAAATATTTCCATTTATGATGACAGAATTTATATTTTTGGGGTGAACTATCCCTTTAAATTGTGTTTATGCAAAAATGTTTATCCTTTGAGGATGTGACGTTTGCCTACATCAGGGTTCCTCAAATCCAGCCCTGGAGGGCCACTGTCCTGCAGAGTTTAGCTCAAACCATGATCGAACTCACTTTCCTGCAATTTTCTAGTAACTCTGAAGACCTTGACTAGCTTGTTCAGGCGTGTTTGATTAGGGTTGGAATAAACTCTGCCAGGCAGTGGCCCTCCAGGACCGGATTTTAGGAACCCTGGCCTACATGGATTGAATTTGTGTTTCTCCTCAAGTTTACCACATTTCTTGAAGTTAAATCTAAACCAGCTTGATTTCAAGGAATATATCGGCTGTTCCGGCTCCTGAGCGGTATGTTAATGTAAATGCTGTCTGTGGTTAAGCATCTACTATAAACAATTACTTATGTTCACATAATGTGTATGTTTTTAGCTTAAGCAAATGGAAATTTCTGAAAGAATCTGACAGAAAAATTACTTTACCATGTCCTCATAGAGTGTTGCTTGGCACGAGTCTAAGTTTGTATTTGTGTGGTGTGGCCTACTTGTGGAATTTTGTGTGTTGTGTATGTGAGAGAAAGACTTTGTGTGTGAGTGTGTGGCAGTGTTATAATCTGGCAGTGTGTTTCCAGTCAGGTTCGTTTGAGGACAACAGCAGTTTCTGTGTGTTCTGGACCCGAACTGACCCAACTGGCTCTGCGCATTACACATACGCACACATTTCCTTTGCGTGTGTGTGCGGAGGAAATGTGTACAGTTTGTCTCAAAGTCTCTGTCTGTTTTTATGAGTCTGCTGATCGTTCTAGCATTATAGCCGTCAACGCCAGTTTGCTGGGTTGCTCCAAGTGTGAGAACATTTCTACGAAGCTTTAGTATGTGCAGTTGCATGTGTTCCTGAGTTTTCCACATGGTCTCTATGCCAGGCCTGGCATTCCTGCCGTGTGAGTCTGTCTCTGTCTGTTGTCATAGCTAATGAAGGTTTATGAAACCCTGACAGCATCTCTGTCCTGTCCTGCATACAGGCGCCCTCGACCTCTGCTGTAAGGGCTGTGGCGCTTTT